AAATATAGCTATAAATGCTTGCATTAAAAAAAAAAAAAACCTCAAATCAACAACTTAACTTTACAGCTTAAGAAACTAAAAAAGGAAAACTAAATTCAAATCTAGCATAAGGAAGAAAACAAAGAATAGAACAGAGATAAATGAAAAACTAGAAAAATGATAGATAGAGCAAATCAATGAAATCAAAATTTGGTTCTTTGAAAAGCTCAACAAAATTGACAAACCTCTAACTAGGTGGATTAAGAAAAAAATTGAAAAATTTAATTACTAAGATGAGAAAGTAGAGATATTCCTACCAATTCTATAGAAACATAAAGGATTATAAGGGTTTATAAGTAAGTATTATAAACAATTGTATGCTAACAAATTGATCACCTAGATGAAATGATGGACCTGATGACTTCACTGGTGAAGCTGTATTTGTGCTATAAGTCTCAGTTTCTGATATTCTGCAGCTGGGGCAAAAGGGTCTGCACCAGGCCAGTTGCATCAAAACTTTGGGCTCTGTTCTGTATTATTTTCTCTAACCCTGGTTCTCCAGTATTCCTGGCCATTTGTTTATACTTAAACCAACCTGAGATATTCTTATTGATTTAGTTAAAAGGTTTGACTGATACCTTAGATGTGGATAACAGAAATTATTGTGATATGTGATATGGAGAAAAGAAAATGTTTTTTAGTAACTAATTTCACAACTCTTTAAAGAAACAGCCAAAAAAAAAAAAAAAAAACTTTGTGTAATATTTGAAAGCATAAAGATTCTTCAGCATATGTAAAGTACTCTGATTGTATATAGTGCTTCTTCATGCTTTTAATTTCTTCTTTGTAGGATCTAAGAGCTGAAGGGACTCAGCTATCACCTGGTCTGGTCTATTCCTTTCACACAAGACATTCACTTTAGGGTTCCTTCCTTCCTTCTTTTATTCATTCAGTAAGTAAATAACATGTTATTGCCAACACAGTTGGGTTTTTGTCCAGAAATACAGAGTGAGTATGACAGAATTCTTAATGGAACTCACAGTCACATTGTAAAGAGACAATTAAAGAGGCAATTTGAAAAGTGTGTGAAAAGTAGGGGACTTAGCCTGTGCCAGAGTGGGTGTTATGAAAAGAAGGCTTCCTGGAGGGTTTAAGGAATATGTTGATGTCTAAATGTTTGAGTAGAACTTGGTTAGGAAAAAAAAAAGGATGAGAAGAATCTCCCAAGCAGAAGAAATGAAGGCAAAGATGAGAGGCTATGAAGAAGCCTAGTGCTGGGAGGTCGTGGGAGAAGTTAGTCAAGGCTGGGGGATGGTGAAAGACCAGTGAGCCTTCCCATGAGGGGCCTCTTCTATGACGTCAGGCAGTTTGGGCGTTATCTGGAGGCAATGAGGGAACAGTTGAAGAGTTCTAAGGAAAAAAGTCATTCAGTGAGATCTGCATTGTAGTAAGGTGATGTGCTGAAATTTGGAGACCAAATGGCAGGGGGAGCAAATTGGGGTCAAGAAGGATGCTGCTGTTCAGTCAGTGACAATGCCCACTGGGGACCACATTTGTGTGAACACTCACCAAAAATCTCCCTCTGGGCATTGACCCTCCTTGAACTTGGCAGAGCTGAGTTTTCAGTAGTCAGCTTGAAGTCATTACGATCAGGGCTGCCCAGTGACCCCCAGGACCTGAGCTCTCCCTGACCCATACTTCCTCTCCAGTCATCTGCTCTGGGAGGTACAGGTACCACTGCAGCAAGGCTGTCTCCTTCTGAGTTGTCCAGCTCTGATGAAAAGGTGGCTTAATTCAAAGGCAAGGACAGCCCTGTGCTCAGGTCCATCTCTTATTTTATCAAGTCACAGTGACCAAAGAGTTGACTATGTTGCTTAGGTGGATTCCATTTTTTGTAGCATGTGCAATTTCTCAAAAAATCCTCTCTTTCCATTCCCAGATCTCCCCATCCTAATCCTGGTTTTCAATTTGCTTATTTTCCACTGCCTGCTATTTGAACCTATATAATCTCACCCTTTGAAGAAAAATTTGCACCTTTTTTTTGGTAAATGTTTGTTGTTAATGATTTATGAACATTAGAAAGCTGCAAAATAATTTTTTGAAAGATACAGGATTTACATTTATCCCCAGCTTCCTAATTTTAAGAATTGAGTCCTCCTTTCTTAGAATAACAAAGAAATTAAGAGTTGGACCTGACTTAGCAACTGAACAATAAAAACAAAAATTCCCTCCTACAATGAGTCCTTTTATAATAAAAAATACAAACTTATTGTTCAAAACATATTCAAAGAATCATTCTGATATTTTGTAGTTGACCTTAAATATCTTTTATTCTGTTATATTCAAGAAAAGCAAGCTGACAGATGTAGGAAAGTATAAAGAATTGTAAAATCAAATATACCAAATAATATTTTAATGAATTACATATATCTATATTTTTATACCAAATTTTTTTCTTTTTACATACAAACATCATATGATTTTGCATTCTACTCTTTTTCCTCTTCAATCCTTTTCTACTTAGTTATCAACAGCATGAAATACGACTTTAAATACTAGCATAATGGTTTAAATTTTTATATATAAATATAAACTGAAAATGACTCATAATCTCTCCATCCAGATAATGTTGATCAGCATTAAAAATGCATAACACTTACATGGTTAGAAAGTTCAAGCAAAACACTACAGAAATGTAAGAAAATGAGAAACAAGCTCACTCCCACCTTTTTGCACCCTAGACCTTTTCCCCAAAGTTAAGTACAGTTAAAATTTCTTGTCATTTTTTTCCAGAAAAAAAATGTACTTTATAGTTGCATATATGTATCTATTTGTAGTTTTATTTTTTACTTACACTCCAGGCTATATTCCCCACCCTAGTCTGTACCTTGTCTTTATTAAGAATCATTCTTGGCGATCCTTGTGCAACATTTTTAAAGTGGTGTATCCCTTGCTCTGTAAATGTCTCCATTTCCAGATCTGTTTTTCAGGCTTGTCTGTGAAATAACTGGCTCTTCTGCTGAGTTCTTAGATGTGAGGTCAGTAGCTGTGTTGCTCCTGTGTCTCCAGGTCTCACCAGCCCACGTTTCTCCAGCTCTTGTCTCCTACCTGCATACTCCTTGGACCACTGACCCTCTATATCTTTAATCTCCCAGTAATTGAGAAGGCCCCAGAGAGTCTCACACAGGCTCACAGCAGTCTTCTTTAGACTCTATTTCCAGTGCCTGAAGTCCTTTGAAATCAGTGGTGCTGTTGCCCCAAGGCTGATGCCCTGAGAGACAGTCTCTCCTTTATCCAGGGCACTGTCTCCCACTGTCTTCCAGGCTGGAGAACTTACTCAGTTTGCTTGGAGCTGCCATGGATTTGCACACATATGTGGACACAGATGTGGATGTGAGTGTACTCAAAAATAATAACACACAGTCTCTTGCAAGGGTTAGTCCTCTCAGCTGCTGACTTATATAGAGCGACTGTCATTCTGACATGTAATCACCCATGTTTTTGGTCACTCGTATATTTGCTTATGGTATCCTGTAATCACATGAACACTTGTCTGGAATGGAGGGAGCCTTTGTTTTGACGGCAGATGATTATACCTTTTGAATTTCTGTGTTTTCCATGGAGGGACAGCGAATTCTCACAGTGGTAGCTGAATAGGAACACAGTGCACTTTGATGAAGTAAAAGGTTAGTTATTTCATCTAAACCAGGATATCTGTCTCAAGGCAGAAAAACATTTAAAAAAGTACATTGACAGAAAGGGGAAGAAGAATGAGGAGAAGGAATGAATAAAAAAAGGAGGGAGCAAAGAAAAGTGAGAAGAATGGAAGGAGGAAAAGTCCATCTCCACTAGCCCACATCCATTTTAGCCATTTGAAAAATTATTCACATCTTCTGTCCTCAGATTGAGGGTCAGCAGGGTCATTATCTTTGCATGCAGAGCTTTTATGATGCTGCTCTTTGCTGTCACGCTGCCTCCTCCTCATTATTGCTTCTACTCTGGTCATTATTTGTGTTGCCATTCCAGATTCATGCTACATGAATCAAGTAATCCCAAAATTTGTTTGAGTTGCACATTGTGAAACATGCATTTGGAATGATTTCCTGAGAAAGCCTGCGTGCAGAATACAAATATTTTGAATGGACTTATCTTAGAGTTGTACTGCTTTTTTTCCTTGTCATTTTAAAGCCCTTAATATGAATAACTTGTTTGTACAGTGGGACTTTTTTTTAATCCTTAGATAAGAAATACATGGTTTGAAAGCAGAGAATAAAAACATGAATGATAATGTATGCAATGCCCAAGAGAAAGTCCTTGCTGTTGCTCCTGAGCAGGCGTTATAATTGGCTATTTGGTGTGTTTATTTCAGGCTGCAGATAGTGGATAAAAGTGGCTGGTTGGTTGCCAGCTCACGACTTACTTGCCAAATGGAGTGTTTAGTACTTGTTACATTTGATTTATATCACAAGTTCTTCCCATTAACAGTCTACTGGTGATAACCTTCTTGGCTTTTCATGTGGTTGCTTTGAAACAGCCACTTGGCAGCACTGGGCATATCGCACGAAGTCTAATGCTGAGTAGAGGAGTGAGTGGATGACTGCATGGGTTCTGCCGCATACTGATACGGTGCTCAGTGCTCACCCAGGATGTGTCTGTTCACTGAATGGATTCTGCATATACGTTTCTCTGATTCACTGCCCCAAGATTAGGCTTGTGGACTCAAGACTTAAAGGGCTAGTGAAAGGAATAGAAATAGAAATAATAGTGCTTGTGTGTCTGAAGGGCTTGCATTTGCATGAAAGGAGATACTCTGCTCATCTCTATTGCCGTTTAAACACAAAGTTGAATTACATGGAAGAAAGACGGTCTTGTCAAAATGGCCTTGATTCTAAATAAAAGTGTAACCTCCTGATACCAACAAGTTTCATAATCTTGGGTCTTTTTTTGTTTTTTTCCCCATAGATCCACTGTACTGGATATGTAATGAACTGTGTATTAAATATGGTGATTTTTACTTTCAGATTGAAAATTTACAAGAACAACTTAGGGATAAAGACAAACAGCTGACCAATCTGAAAGACAGAGTGAAATCCTTGCAGACTGATTCCAGTAACACAGACACTGCGCTGGCGACTCTCGAGGAGGCTTTGTCAGAGAAGGTGAGCTTGGACTAAACATTAGCTGTGGTATGGTTTAGGGAAATGTGGTTGGGAGGAAATGGTCTAATTGCATTTGAATGTGCTTATTTTTCTCCGTGTACTCACATCAACCCTAGTACCAGCCGGGACTTCCCTTCCCATGTAATCTTCAGCAGTAGACTCAGCATGCTGAAGCCATTGGCATCTTTTTGAAATACATACTTGATCACTTCACCCTTGGCACGGCTTAAAAACCTCCACTGCCTTGCCATTGTTTTTAGGATGATGGAAACTGAAATCTTTAACCTTGCCCTTAGGGTCCATCCTATCATGTTCTCTGGCTCTCACCTGACTAGCCACTTCTCTGCCTGCCTCCTTTACCTTCCTCCCTCCTTCTATCCCTTCCATTCATCTTTCCTTCCTCCTTTTCCAGCCTTATTCCCATCTCTCTTCCCTTAGACTTTGTGCTCTAGCCATTGCTGGCCTTCTAGATTCTTAAGTGCACCATGGTTTCCTCCTGCCTCAGACCCTTTGCACATGTTATTGTTGAGCCCAGAATGTTCTTTATTCCCTGCAGATTTAATTATTCTTCTGAGAGCTGAGAAGCTGTATTGCACAGAGTCAAGATTGTGGACATTGGAGCCAGACTTGTAGGTTTCAAATCTTAGGTCTGACAGTTAATACTTTGGATAAGTTACTTAACCTCTCACTTTCTCGGTTTCCTCATTTGTAAAAGAGGATAATATTAGTACCTACTTTAGTGGATTACATTGAGGAGAAAATGCTTTAATATATGGAATGTGTTTAGGATAATAGGTGTATATTAATTTATAACTTATTATTATCAATCATTTCCTTGGGGAAGCCTCTTAGGTAAAATCCTCTACTATGTTTTCATGAATGCCATGAATTTCCCAGAGCTCTTGTAACAATCTTAATTGTTCATTTTTCTGTTTTAATGTGATTAAGTGGTTTTACCTGCTAGACTCCAAGCCCAAGCATACCTGTATATGTGTTACTTGTGTGTGTTGGCTCACCTTCCCCCAGTGCCTAGTGCACTATCCTGGGTGTTGATGGAGTGAGCCGCCACCGTATGACAGGCACTTTTGTGGGCACCAGGGATCCAGCAGAGAAAAGAAGTGGTGAAAATCCTGGCTCTCATGGAGGTTAGATTCTAATGGGACTGAAGAGACATAGAAAATAAAGAAATATAACACGTGAGCCTTCAGAGAGTAATACTTTCTACAGAAGAAAGCAAAGGGAGGGTTCTGGGAATGCTGGCGTGGAATGACCAGGTCAGGGCTCACTAAGAAGGGGGCATATAAGGAAAGACCTGAGGAGAGAGGGATGAGCCATGAGCACTTCTGGAGGGAGAATGTACTGGAGGGAATCAAGAGCAGAGGGGGAGCGGTGGGTGGAAAGGGAGTATTCCTTGAAGGGCCTTGTGAGAAAGGATGAAAAACTTTGACTTTCACTCTGAAGTGGGTAGGAAGCCATTTGGAAGTCTTAGTTCTGACTGATGTTTAAAAGGATTTCTTTGACCAAAAGAATGAAGAAAATCTATTAGGCAAATAGGTCATTCTGATGTTTACTGATTCCTAAAATGATTTCTAGTCCATTTCATTCTATCCTAGTTAGTTCATTCATTCTCTGGGCACTTTTGTACTTCTACGCACAGTGGGTGTGTTGTGTGCTGGGCTGGGCACCAGTAGGCCTTGGAGTTGAATCTGCATGTTATATCCCCCATCACTTCCTAAGTGTCAAAGAATCAGTACCCAAGAGTAGATGAGGTAAAGTTTGCAAGGATTCTGAAGAAAGACAGCTTATTTTTGGTTGGACATATCATGAATCAGTGCAGTCTTTAAGTAGGTCCATGTTATTGACATGATTATCTTCAAACTCTGAAGCAAAGAAAAATCTTAAGTTTTAAAGTATGTAAGTAGACCCCATTATGCTGTTTTTCTGTGTCTTTCTCATCATTTCTTATTCTGTAGCACTTTGTAGGATTTCCCACAAATGCAAGAGGTAATGGTGTCTCTTGTTGTTTGTTTTGTTTTGGATTTCACACTGTAATAACAGCATTGTTTCCTACTATTTTCCCTGTTATCATAAACCATGAGGTAAAGAGGTCTAGTGGATGGTGGCCTAGGAGCCAGTCTCAGCTCTGCCACTAACTGGGTGACCTTGACAAATAACTCTCACTCCCTGGGCCTCAAATTGCCCATTTGTAGTATGGGGGAATTGAATAGCCCAGATTCCAGAAGTCAGTGAATCTTAAAGAAGTTTTATCTGACGTCTACATCAGAATCACCAGATGTCTGTCAAAAGTATAATTATCAGGCCCCGTGTATATACTGAATCAGAGCCTCGAGTAGAGCCGAGAACTCTGCACCTCATCACACTCTCTAGGTGACTGTGATGTACACTCTAATCTAAGAATCACTGCTCTATGCTAAACATACAGAACGTAAAAAAGCAGACAGATTTCAATGGCTAGATAGTCTTAATGTTCCTATTAAAATTATAAGATTACAACTTTATAAAAGATGAAACACGTATATTATCTAGGGTGAAACAGTTCACCAGCCCAGGTTGGGTGCATGAGACAAGTGCTCGGGCCTGGTGCACTGGGAAGACCCAGAGGGATTGGGTGGAGAGGGAGGTGGGAGGGGGGACCGGGATGGGGAATACATGTAAAAAAAAAAAAAAAAAAAAAAAAGATACACTATGGTTGTGATAAAAAATAAATAAATAAATAAGTAAATTAAAAAAAAAAAACAACAAAGTAGCTTATAGGCTTGATTTTAAGAATTTAACAGATTCCAGTTAAAAAATTAAAAAAAAAAAAGAGATTTTATTTAGAATAATAAAAATAAGATGATTTTTCAGGGAAAAATATTCTTTTTACAATCTTCAAGAATTTAGTATCAAAACTTTCTAGTGGTAATTTTGTTTATAAAATTTGAATGGAAGAATGTTTCAAAAACTGTGAATGATTATGTATCCCTTCTGCAGTCTTTCAGTGACATGATGTCAGTCCATTTGTACCCTTGATTTCTTTCTCCAAATATACAGAAATAAACTTACACCACATACTTTTCCATATCATGAATTCTTGGCAGGATTTTATCCTTTCTCCCCCTACTGAGATTTGATTTATTCTAGTTTAAGTCCCAAAACAATTATTGAATCTGAAACTACTCCTTTTACTTACGCACTTCCTCTGAGATTTAAAGGAGGCCAAGGAAGGAAATCTGGGGGTCTATGGGAGTCTGACCCCCTCAAACTGTCCCCACTACTTGAAAATTGCATCACATGGGGCAAATCTGTTCTCCTCTCAGTACCTTATCTTCAAAACGTACATTTAAACTAGCTGACCTCTGAATTCCACTATCTTTTGGAATTACCTTGACAATAATTATTCAGTTTGCTGATCCACAGTCTTAGGCATATGAAATCTGTACTGAACTGTACATGAGGAGTTGAGAACTTAGATGCCATGTAGGGTCAGGACGGGAGCAAAAATGAGCGAAGTGGGTTTGGTGTTAAGCAGTTTGGACTGCTGGTGACTATGACAAGCTGGAGCATTATTGACTTACCTCAAAATGTTCGAGTTCAGATTTTAAAATATGATACTCAAGTTGAACAAAATACCTCTGTGGGGCAGCTTTGATCAGTGAGCTATTGGTTTCCAAACCCTATATGCATCTAACTTTTAGCCTTTCACCTGATGAAGAATAAATGGAAACACAGAGGGAATTTTCAAAAGGTGCCAAAAATCAGAGCGTCAATGTATTTGAATAAAGGACAAAGCAATTTGATAGGAACTGGCAAATTTCCCTGTCAGGGGATAAAGAATAGTAGATTTATTTTTAAGTGTTTATATTCCAGTGGATATCACACTTCTATATGTATCCAAAATAATCTTGTCATCTAGAGCAGGTGTCCCCAACCTCTGGGATCTAATGCCTGATGATCTGAGGTGGAGCTGATATAATAATAATAGAAATAAAGTGCACAGTAAATGTAATGAGCTTGAATCATCCTGAAACCATCGCCCCCACCCCCGCCTCAGTATGTGGAAAAATTATCTTCCATGAAACTGGTCCCTGCCAAAAATGTTGGGGACCACTAATCAAGAAAACTTCTTAAAATATAGTTCCCTGTGTCCCATATCCTAGTGATTCTGATTCTGTGCTCTGCTGTGGGGCCCAGGAATCTTTGATTTAACAAGGATGCCCAGTGATTCTGATGCAAATGTTTGGAAGGCCATACTTTGAGAAACAGTAAATCCATGCTCTTTCATTTTAAAGATGGGAATTGGGTTCAGTGAGGTGAAATGACATGCCCAGAAATGAAAATTTGGGACCTGTGCAGCACTGTTTTATTCTGGTCCAGTGTCTATTCTAGGCCCTGGGTAGACGTCATTAATCAACCATGGCACGTTAACTTCCCAACGCAGCCCTCTGGGAAGCCGCTTGTACCCTAAGCTGGCCCTTGGTTGGGACTTAGTTGCCTCCCCTGGGTTATCCCAAGGCCGCTCAGCTCATGGGTGATGGAATGGGACTAACACTCAAATGTTCTTGTCTTTGTGTTTGACAGTACAATCTCTTCCAGTGACCTTTCCCTCACAAGTTCCATTTTTATCCACAGTATAAGTTGACAGATGCTCTGCAGCAAGACATGGTGCAAAAAAAGAAAATGATTAATTGGAAATCATGGACTTATAAGAATATTTAATTTTTTGCTGTCTTTTGGCTGATGAATAGAACCCATTAGGCACTAGTCACCTTTTCACTTGGATTATTATTCATTCATCCCAGGGAATGTATTATTCCTTTTAATTTCCCAGAACTTATTCAGATATGCAGTGTGTAAAAAAAAATAATAATAATGCCCCTTAGTGAGTTAAGATTGAGTATGACTTAGCTCCAGGACTGACACACAGAAGCCCATGGAGCCCCCAGTATTTATAAAGCCACATGGCAGATAAGCAGTTGAGACAGCCAGATAGCAGAGCTGGAGGCCACTGCCGTGCAGTTCCCATCCAGTGATAAAGCGCAAGTAGATTAGACCTGTGCACAGCCAGATGGGTGCATAAGGAACACTTGCCAATGCAAATAAGACTAAAACAAGAACACATTGTTGGAATTTCTGCAAGTTAGCTGTTAATCAAGTAGATCATGGCATATTAGGGCCTTTTAACACATATTTTTGACATCTGGCCCTGCGCGGCTGACGGTTAAATTAGTTTTGTGATTGACAGAGAAATATTTTGTAGTATTGAATCATCAATAACACTTAAAAACATTAAACTTCTTGCTGATTTGCTTTGTCATCAATGCCCAGTCAATAGTACAAGTGCTTAAAGCAGGGCAACCTCATTTCCAAATGACTCTGACACCTTCTGGATGTTAACATGCATACTTAATTTTATTTCCCTTCTTTTGAAGACAGGATGACCCCTAATTTGAATTCTTGTTCCTTCCCTCAGCCTTTTTAATTGCCTGTTGTATGCCAGGCAATTTGCTCAGGCCTGAGTTAAGAGAATCGTAAGATTTGAGTGTTGCCCTTTGGAAAGCTAGGCAGAGAGAGTGATCATGCAATAAGCGTGTCTAGTGGGAATAAATGCCACGTGTTCTGGCCAGAGTGATTCCTGGGAAAGTTTCTAAATAATGAGTTGACATGGCCAGTTTGGTCAGGGCTTCCCTTGTGACTCAGTCAGTAAAGGAGACCCAGGTTTGATCCCTGGGTTGGGAAGATCCCCTGGAGGGGGAAATTGTAACTCATTCCAATATTCTTGCCTGGGAAATCCCTTGGACCAAGGAGCCTGGCAGGCCACAGTCCTTGAGGTTACATGTGTTGGACAGGACTTAGTGACTAAGCCACCACCACATGGTCAGTTTGGGGCTTTAAAAATGTCACTCCAACACTATGGGGTGGAAGTGACCAGATGGAGAGGGTCTGCTCACTGGGTGACCAGTTGTGAGGCTTTGGCAGTAGGTGTAGGCCAAGCTGTGTGGGCTCAATTGCTGAAATTGTTAAAAGTCCTTGAGAGATTTACTGTGTGCTGAGGCCATTTCCTCCTTCCGTTGATCACATAGTCATCTACTCACCCATAGCACAGATGAGTAAAATAGGACAGTAACGAAATCAAGAAGAAACAAATACAGACCATGAATAGGATCATTTATGCCATTTCAACCCACACTGTTGTAATAATACATTTCATTTTAAGGTATTTTTAAATAATTAAAAACAACAGTGATATTTCTCCCCCCTTGAAAGCATTAGACGTGTAAATCATTGTCATTGGGTTAGAACAGTTGCTTCCCTGTGCTGTGCTGTGCTAAGTCGCTCAGTCGTGTGCAACTCTTGGTGACACTATGAACTATAGCCCACCAGGCCCCTCTGTCCATGGGTATTCTCCAGGCAAGAATACTGGAGTGGGTTATCATTCCCTCCTCCAGGGGATCTTTCCAATCCTGAGATCGAACCCAGGTCTCCTGCGTTGTAGGCAGATTCTTTACCATCTCAGCCACCAGGGAAACCTAAGTACTTCCCTGGGGGATCTTAAATCATAGGCTAAGTGTTCAAACTAACTTCCCTCTATATTAAACACTATTTTTAAAACGTGTGTATTTTATAATTATAGTTGTCTTATGTATCAGGCTTTGTCTTGTACTGTATACTTATAAGAATATAAATAACAATATGCTTTTTTAAAATTTAATATTAGTTTTTGGCTGTGGTGTGTCTTCATTGCTGCACATGGGCTTTCTCCAGTTGCAGTGATTGGAGATTGCTTTAGTTGTGATGCACATGCTTCTCACTGTAGTGGCTTCTCTTGTTGCAGAGCATGGGTTCTAGGGTGAGTGGGCTTCAGTAGTTGTGGTATATGGGCTTAGTTGCCTCATAGCATATGGGAGCTTCCTGGATCAGGGATCAAACCCATGTCCCCTGCATTGGCAGGCAGATCCTTCACCACTGGACCACCAGGGAATTACAGAATATGAAAAACAATATTCTTAAGAAGCATTTTTGCACCAAAATTTTTTAACATGACCATCTAGAAGAAAATCCAAGAGGTGTTGGGTAATTTGACACAAGTTTCAGAACTCTAACTCAGATTTTACCTGAGCAAAATTTTCCTTAAAAAAAAAAAAAGGTTCTTATTTTGATATCAGAAAGATTTCATCCTTTTTGAAAATATATCTACCAGAGTAATATTGTTATTTAGACATAAAACTCAAGGGCAGTCAGGTACTCACATCTCCTTGAATGGCTTGTGTTTGTGGCTGTGTGTTCTCTTGCACGTGGCTAAGACTCCAACAGCCCTGGGTGTCAGGGTGGGCCTTCTGTTTCTGAGCTGGGTCACCTTGGATGAGTCAACTGGCCTCTCTCAGCCTGGCTTTCCTCCCCATCACTCTGTTACCAGTAGTCCTGGTTCAGATCGTACAGGTGTGATGAGGACTAGAAGGTATCACAGTGCCTAGCAGTAGTGACCTCTTAGTAAAGAAAACTGTTTGAGCTTTGCTCAAATTCTAACAGTGTTTTCTTTTCTTTTTTCCTTTTGAGAGTCATGAGTTAAGTATTATTTGTGGCAAAATGAGGACTGTAGCCCAGGAGACAGTACCTCAGATAGCTCTAAGAAACTCTAGCAATGTTTTTGAGTCTCTACTGATGGCCAAGAAATCGTTGAAAAAAACACAGAAGTAAATAAACACCTCCAGATACATTGGAAAATCACTTACATAATGAACTTAACCCTTATTTTATACCAAGTTCTCACTGTGAGTTCAGCCTTATGTCCTTGAGGGTCTAGGTCCTGCCCCTCTCTGATCCTCTTTCTCGCAAAAAGAGTCTTCAGAAATCATGGAAGGTTATTTGACATCAGATGGGAAAGCCAAGCAAAGAGGGTTCATCCAAGAGTTTGGTTCTGTGTCTTCCCTTTCCTTGTACAAGGCTTTGGGTTTTGGTGCCTGAACCTCATTGTTCTGGAACTGCTCTCGGAGATTCCTGGGGCCACCGTGGACTTGAGCATTGAGGCCCACGTTAACCCTGTGGTACTAACTTTGATTAACAGGCTGAAAGCTGAGGTTGACTGTCTTCCCCAAATACTGTTCTGCACAACCTCTCTTCACAAACCCAATTTTGAATACCTTGTGTATGTTGAGTCCAATACACATAGGAGCACGTCTTATGTGTATTGCTTCTTATTTCATTCTGTAGCATGCCTTGGCACGCACACTGATAGAATCTCACTGTTTTTTTCTTTAATTGGGCATTTGCCTCACAGGAAAGAATAATTGAGCGTTTGAAAGAACAAAGGGAGAGAGATGATCGGGAAAGACTAGAAGAGATAGAATCATTCCGAAAAGAGAACAAAGACCTGAAAGAGAAGGTCAATGCTTTACAAGCTGAACTGACTGAAAAAGAGGTGAGTCTGGAAAAACAAGTGAACCACACGAGTAGTCCTCATCAACCCATATCCATGTAGCTGAGACAGACTAGAGACTTAGTTTGAGGGACTGTGTGAAGACTTGGGGGATCTAGTTACCTTTGCTTTATAAAGCCCTCTGAACTTACAGAACAGTATTTACTGTAACTCCCTTCTTCTGGTGATGCTCTGTGCATATCTTCTGTACTGTAATAACCACATATAATGTAATTCCTTGAAAGTTTTCTTGCTGTCTTGCCATATTCACATGGCTTGGAGGATCTTATGATCTCTTGTTTAAGATAACAAGAACAACAAAAGCACTGACAATAATAACAATAGCTCCAATTTACTGAGGGCCTGTTAGGTACTAACGCTTGTGTTGGGTGCTATGCATTCATCTACAATTCTCAAATGAATCAGTCAATACCCCCAGGTTAGGAGATGTGGTACCATGCTGGGCCCATAGAAAAATGTTTTGGCTGCTCAGTCTGAAACAGTATTTTAATGCTAGTGCAAACATGGATACAGAATACAAATCTCATCTGCATTTATAATGTAAAACAACCTACTTTAAAGAAATTTCTTGTGTGGTGGTTATGAAAAGTATCCATGTACTGAGGGATACCTATAACCCCTTCAGTTTACTTAACAGTGCTTTGGTGAAGTGTGAGAAGCAGTAATGTGCACATTCTTTTCTTCAGTCTCCAAAACCTTGAGATATATGCCGTAGTCCACAATTGGACGCTTCATTTTGTCTACAGAACATGTTTGTCTCCTTTATGACACGTTTGTTCTTTTGCCCTGTTGGATTGTATCCCAGCATAGTTGCTAATTTCCCAGCTCTAGAGTGTCACTTCAGCCCTTGGATTCTGGTAATTTTAAACCTGATACAAAGTCAAGTGGGCCTTAGGAAGTACTGCCATGAACAAAGCTGGTGGAGGTGATGGAATTCTAGTTGAGCTATTTCAAATCCTAAAATATGATGCTGCAAAAGTACTGCACTCAATATGTCAGCAAATTTGGAAAACTCAGCAGTGGCCACAGGACCAAAAAAGGTCAGTTTTCGTTCCAATCCCAAAGAAAGGCAATGCCAAAGCATGCTCAAACTACCACACAATTGAACTCATTTCACATGCTAGCAAAGTAGTGCTTAAAATTCTCCAAGCCAGGCTTCAACAGTACATGAACTGTGAACTTCCAGATGTTCAAGCTGGATTTAGAAAAGGCTGAGGAACCAGAGAGCAAATTGCCAACATCCACTGGATCATTGAAAAAGCAAGAGAGTTCCAGAAAAACATCTACTGCTGTTTATTGACTTATACCAAGGCCTTTGACCATGTAGATCACGACAAACTGTGGAAAATTCCTTAAGAGATGGGAATACCAGACCACCTGACCTGCCTCCTGAGAAATCTGTATGCATGTCAAGAAGTAACAGAATGGGGCATAGAACAACAGACTGGTTCTAACTTGGAAAAGGAGTTCATCAAGGCTGTATCTTGTCACCCAGCTTATTTAACTTATATACAGAGTACATCATGTGAAATGCCGGACTGGATGAAACACAAGGTGGAATCAAGATTGCCGGAAGAAATATCAATAACTTTAGGTATGAGGACGACACTACCCTTATGGCAGAAAGCGAAGAAGAACTAAAGAGTCTCTTGATGAACGTGAAAGAGGAGAGTGGAAAAGTTGGCTTAAACTGAACATTCAGAAAACTAAGATCATGGCATCTGGTCCTATCACTTCATGGCAAATAGATGCGGAAACAATGGAAACAGTGACAGACTTTAGTTTTTTGGGCTCCAAAATCACTGTAGATGGTGACTGCAGCCATGAAATTAAAAGACGCTTGTTCCTTGGGAGAAAAGCTATGACCAACCCAGACACTATATTAAAAAGCAGAGACATTACTTTGCCAACAAAGGTCCGTCTAGTCAAAGATATGATTTTTCCAGTAGTCATGTGTGGATGTGAGAATTGGACTATAAGAAAGCTGAGCACCGAAGAATTGATGCTTTTGAACTGTGGTGTTGGAGAAAACTCTTGAGAGTCCCTTGGACTGCAAGGATATCCAACCAGTCCATCCTAAAGGAAATCAGCCCTGAATATTCATTGGAAAGACTGATGCTAAAGCTGAAACTCCAATACTTCGGCCATCTGATGCGAAGAACTGACTTATTTGAAAAGACCCTGATGCTGGGAAAGATTGAAGGCAGGAGGAGAATGGGGCAACAGAGGATGAGATTGTTGGATGGCATCATCAAGTTGATAGACAATGAGTTTGAGTAAGCCCCAGGAGTTGATGATGGACAGGGAAGCCTGGTGTGCTGCAGTCCATGGGGTTGCAGAGTCAGACATGACTGAGTGACTGAACTGACCTGAAACAGATTAAAGTACTGTCTAAATTAGGAGTCCAAGAAGGAAAGAATTGATCAGTAATAGGAAATTTAGTGGAAGCTTAGAAGCAAAATTTATGTTCTCTAAAATTCACTGGTTTTTAGAGAAGAGGTTATTTCTTTGATAAGATTATCATTCTTTGATATATAAAAAATATAAAAGCTGCAGAGTCTGTAGTTCTATAGCTAGTATGAAAGAAAAGGCACTGAAGCTTCTGTCTCATTTACAGCTTTCTTCACGGATTGCAAATGTTATTCCTGTGTTTATACCCTAAAAGCAATATGTATGTTTATATGTGCTTCTAGTTGAAAAGAGATTTTGATGACTTGGTAGAGTGTAAACTTTAAATGAAAATAATTTTGTAAACACTGGTTACATTGTATGAATTTCAGACAGGCATTTCTGCACACGTTTATTGTTCCTGTATAATAATGTGGCTGCCACTGGGCTTAGTATGTCAGTCAAGCTTCCATCAGAAAAACAGAGCTGTATTAAGAAGTTTAATCATATTAAGAAATTTATTGCAAGGAATTGACTTACATAGTTATGGGGGCTGGCTAAGGAAGTCCAAAATTCACACAGAAGGCCATCAGGCAAGATGGGCCAGAAACTCTCAGACAGGAGCTAATGCTTCAGTCCACAGGAGGAATTTCTTCCATCTGAAGGAAACCTAGTTCTGCTTCTAAGACCTTTCAGCTGATAGGATCAGGCCCACCCAGATTATGAAGAATAATATCCTTTACTTAAAGTGAATTCATTGTAGATGTTAGTCGCATCTTCAAAATATCTCTACAATAACACTTAGATTAGTGTTTGATTGAGTAACTGGAGACTATGGCCTAGGTAAGTTGACACATAGAGGTATTAATATTACACCTGGCAATTTAAAATTTATAAAGGCAAACAATTTTTATTAGCATGGAGCTTATAATTTAGTTGGGATGATCATAGTTTTCACCATGACAAAGTATGTGGATTATATGGTGCTTAGTTGCTCGGTCGTGTCTGACTCTTTGTAACCCCATCGACTGTAGCCCACCAGGTTCCTCTGTCCAAGGGATTCTCCAGGCAAGAATACTGGAGTGGGTTGCCATGCCCGCCTCCAGGGGATCTTCCCAATCCAGGGATCGAACCCAGGATTCCACATTGCAGGCAGTTTCTTTGCCTTCTGAGCCACCAGGATTATAAGGTCCTTTGTTATTTCTGTGGAAGTTACATGATAAACGCCATTGAAATTGGAGTTGGAAACCTGGGTTTGAGACATATATCTCCCATTAATGGCTTAAGAACCTTGCTGAAGATAAGACCTCATGTGAGCTTCAGTTTCCTGACCTGAAAAATGAGAATGGCTAACCTGTCACTCAGAGAGTTGTTAGAACTTGCATTGCTTGTTGGGTGATTGTGGTGGTATCGTCACCAGTGTGGTTATTCCAGTGCTCATGGTGCAGTAAAGTACTAGATCACATCAGTTACTAAGAAACTGCTATTCGCTTAGTGTCTTCCTAGGCATTGCAGATGGATATAAAAGAAATGTATCATGTCCGGTTTTGGGTGGAAGCTGAACATTTTAGTCACATAGTTAGATGTTGCTAACCAGTTCATATTTGCTGGTGGACAGTGCCCTTCTAGGTAGCAAAGTTGTGTACTCTGATACATGCAAGTGTTATTTCTTTACCTTTTGGAATTTGTGCTATACAGGGAACCTCTTGGTTTCTGGAGCAACTTGGGTAACCCCATGTCTGAGTTGGGGGGAATTCGTTATATTCCTGAATCTGATTTTACAAAGGACTAGGACATAAAGTTTGCTCTGGATTTTTAAATAAATTTACCTTTGATTCTATGGGAGATGTTTGAAATAACATTGGTCATTTTTCTGCTAAGAAATGGAATTTGATAAAGACTAAGATTCTTCCTTTATACATGATTTACCCTTTTGGGGGAGAAAAGCATTAGAGTTGGTATTTTCTTTCATATTTTTTTAGATGCTGTACCACCTGACAGCAGCAAATGTAAACGGAAGGTTCAGGGTGTCTGTTTCCTATGATGTGTAAAGACTGCCTTGGGACTTAGATCATTAGCATAACTTTGAGACATGAAACATGCATTTACTGACCATTTGATCACATTTGATTCTACTGCAATTAGATCCTGCTCGCTTCTATAAACTGGCCAGCTTTAATTTGGCCAGAGTCGACTGTTGTTACCTAAGTAAGACTTATTTACCCTCTCTGTCTAATGCACACTTTATTGCTATGTATGGAATCATTGTGTTAAAATTGAAGACACTGCTAGTAGAAATTACAGTTTTACTTACTAGTATCCTTTTCCTTTCAGTCTAGTTTAATTGACCTCAAGGAACATGCATCTTCATTAGCCTCAGCAGGGCTGAAAAGGGACTCCAAATTAAAATCTCTAGAAATAGCCATTGAACAAAAGAAAGAAGAATGTAGCAAATTGGAAGCACAGTTAAAGAAGGTAAGTGATATCTAAGAAAAAAAATACTCATTTTATAATTAATTGATAAAATAGGAAAGGAAGAGATATTTTTCAAAAAATAGAAACCCCTTATCTTTTGTCATCTGCTGATAAAAGGATTAATTAAGCAATCTGTATTCCTAGGAAGTCTGCATCAGATCTGTCTCTGAACATGAAAAGTTATCTTGGGTTTCCTGTCTGAGGCAAAAAAAAAAAAAAAAGCTTGAGAAATAGATGACAATAGTAGTAGAAGTGAAAAATATTATAAAGATCAGCCATTCCTCTCTGGGCAAATCTCAACTGTAAAGAAAGATAAGTGTTTTACAGTAAATGTTTCAATAAGTCAAAGAGCCCAGGAGCCCGGTTATACATGATAAACTTTACTACTTTTCAGAAGCAGGGCAGTTTTGGGGGAGAGGGCACTTGGCAGAAGTTTACCCAACCATGTTAAATTTCTAGAGGTTTGTGAAAATAGTCAAATCCTTGGAAGTTCTATGGGTTGACTATTTATACTTGACCAGAAATGGCCTTAATGTTTAAGCAAGTTTATATGTTGAAGGTTTCAGTAAAGAAAACAGGGTCTTTGCATTGCAGCATTAACATGTTTTCTCTGAACTCGACATTTTTGTGGAGTACATTTCCAGTCATGCATCGTTCCTTTGACTTTTTCCTTGTGTTGTTTGGTACGTCTGCATTCATTGTTCATGTAAAACTCATAACATTATGAGTTTAAGCATTTTGTTTCCCTTTGACAACTTATAAACTTATTCAGAAGAGATGATAAGAATCTAAACAAACCAACCATATAATAAAATGTGACTGTATAATTCATAGCGCACTGAAATGGGGATTCATTTGCTAAAGTTATACAAATATATGATATGGATAGTAGGGATGATAAAGCATCATATATCTGTGGAGAAATTATTCTAGATATTTTAAAATTTAATATACTATTTCATATGCATGAGGCAATGTATAACTGAAATGTGATTATTCTGTGTTCACTTCATCATAGAATTTTAGGAAACTGTCACAGATTCCAGACTAATCAAGTCCCCTTAGTAATACAGAAAAAGATAAATATATGGATCAAATCTCTACAACAAAAGAGCCAGAAAATCTTTTTATTACAAAGTCTATTTCCTAATCCACTCATCATCTCACTTTTTAAAAGTGAAGTCTATTTAAGCAGAAATCTCAAGCAATAAATAGACTTTAAATTGCCCCTTTGAGGGTGTTTAAATGGTGATTGACTTGGCTATTTGTGCATTGGGTGTATGATATATATTCTTGACACATATATGAATGTGTTCTGCAATATGTTATACATGCACATACATATCAAGAAATGAACTTATGGATGGTCCTTTTTATATAGTGAACATTTTTGTGAGCATAAAGCAGACCCCATGATCACTGTGTTGGCCCCCTGTGGTGGTCTTTGAGTCACCTCACCTCGCTCGAAGTGTGCTGGGTCCTGAAGGAGGACTGCCACTCCACCTGGGCATGAAAACTGCCTTTCATTAATCTGAGGGACCGTTACGGAGTTGAGGGCGTCCCATACACTGTGTCTGCAGATACATACTTGACCCTCTCCCTTTTAGTGTAAGGCATCTATGGAACTGGAAATCCTCTAAGTAGTAAGAGGTTCACATATTGATGTTCATAGTTTCCATGAATACGACTAAGCTAGTTTAATAGATGAACATCTGTACAATTCAATTTAGTGTGTCTTTCAACATAGTTATAGTTAAGCTGCAAAGTCAGTGAAAGCATGTGATTTCCTTAGACTTTCAGATAGACACCATATACTGAAATTTGTAGATCAAATCTGATAAACATTTTAGTATTATTCCTGACAACAGTTTAGCATTCTGCCACATCACCAGGGTTAAAGTAACAAATATGGTTATCTTGCTGTAAAGGACCTATTTAATTTATGAAAAGATAATTTATTTCTAAGTATATACATGTCTTATATTATCTCCTACATGCATAGTACAGTGAGATTAAATAAGGTAATTATAATGTAAATATTTTTATACCTAACCTGCAGTAATTATTTTGTTATTTTTGGCCCTCTACATCAACTAAATTCAAAAGTTTAAAATACTTTTTCTAGTAGCCTTTAATTTCTGCTAATAAATAATTCCGTAAAAACCTCAAGTACCCATCACCTTAAAAAGAATTGAAGTCTATATAAAATATTTGAAAATATAAGCCAAAAATTTGTGAATATACATATAAACGCATCATTTACTCATGGAAAAATAAGCAGCTATAAAAGCTTAAGGAGTGTCTGGGCCTCCTTTTAAATAAAAGGGTATGTGACTTGTGAATAAAATATAAAGGGTTACTAAATGAAAGCTGAAAACATAATAGTTTTATTATGTCATAAATAAACCATGAGTTCCCAGTGGAGTTTTGCTCAAGATTTGTGAGCACTCAGGTATTTTTGCCATAAAATCTATACAACATCGGTGATGTGTTTAGCTGGACAGAAACCTTGTCTGCTAGTGACAGTGGAATCCAAATTGTGATTTAAATCTGCTTTTGTCTTATAAACAATGCTAGAAATTGGTTAAGATGAGTTTTTAACAGAAAAGTTTGTGGAGGACATTCATACACATAGCTGCTTTTAACTCTTTACTGCACTATGTCAATTTAAGACATTTCCAAATAGTTTGTGTTGAAAATGGTTACTAAGGGCAGAAAAGGAACTTCTTACACATTCCACCCCACCTCTTAAAAACAGCTCCACACACCTGGTTAGCCAGATTTCAAACTCAAGGCAGCTGCAGAAGGCCTGTGAGCACTGTGGCCCTTGTAACCACCCTGTGTCTATTGATAACCATCTCATTGTCAGGCAGCAAGGTTATCAGGATATATTTGTTCCTTTCCCGTCTTTCCAGTTTTGTTGGTGAACTCCAACTTTGTTGTTGGAGCTTCGCTTGTAAGGAGATCTTTACTCATATTAGTGAGTATTTAGTGTTCAATATGTAGATGTAAATTTATCTTATATGACTAGAAATCATCTGAGAAGCAGTAGCATTTCAGAATGCTACGATTTATGTTACTTAAGTAATTTTCCAATTAATATCATCTTTGAGGAAGGTATTTTTTAAAACCACAGTAAAATTATCATTTACTTTATCAAAGTTGAAGAAAAAAAAATTCTTGCTCTTCAAAGGAATGTCTTGGCTTAAAGCTTACAGTGTTTCACTTTCTACCCTTTGACATTGAGTCCCAAATTAATGATGCAGGTATTTAAGATCTATAATTTGAGGATGCTATTTAAAATAATATTTAGTACATTTAAATCCACAAACATTTATGTCTTCTCCACAAAATAGGACCTTACAGATTCTAAAGGACTTGGAACATAATAGGATAGACACTGAAAACTGTATTTTTAAATTATGAACTACTAGTAGGAACTGGGAATAGACAGTGGGTAATATTGTATTTTGGTTCCATTTAATCTTCCTACTGACTTAATTCTTTTCTTTTCCCATTTACTGTTAATCCTGTAATGTCTTGCTTACTGATATTTTGCTATTGCTAACCTGCTGTTTGCTAATCTATATTTTTCTAAAGTTAGACTGAATAGAAAAGTCAAGCTTATGTTAATAGAAAAGAAGAGCTATAAATTCAGTGATAAGATTTAATTAATCTTTTATTATTACCATCTTTGAAGTTCAGGTAATAAATTGCAGGCTTGGCCAAGCACTTCTTCTGATTCATTGCTAGAGGCCAGCACTTCATGTATCATCAAAAGTGGACAGCTTTCTTTATTTCATGGGTTATTTAACTTGAGAAAGGGAAAGTAACACAAACCTTAAATTTCTTATTCCAGCTATTCTTTTAAAGGAGCCAAAATCAACATTTCTATTTCCCTAGAGCCTCTCACTTTCACTGTGGAATGTTTAGAAACTGAAATTTCTTCTTTTTTAACCACCAGTTTGTCTGTGCAAATGCACTGAATTTGTTGAGCTAATGCTGTTTTTCTGGATCTTTCCTTCTTTCCCTGTCTGTGCCTCAATGCCTCCCCAACTTTGCAATGTAGCAGGCTGAGCAGTTGTTCAATCAGATGTACAGCCCAGTAAGTCATTTCTGAAAGTTCCCGCTGTAACATATAAAAGCATGAGGATCCACTCATCACATGTCACAGTGTGCCGTATTGGGGAAGTTTTGAAAATATTTGTGAATCTCTTCCCATTTCTGTTCTGTCAAAAGAAATGACCTGTTCAGAGGCCATTGCCATTTCTTTTGTCTGTGAAATTTAAAACGTAACAACTCAAGGAAATATTGCCAGCTCTGGTATTACCTCTGTCTTAACTCTAAGGTGATAGAAAAACTTAGGTCAGCTGCAGATTTAGGCTCATGAAATTCTTTCCCACATTCTTCAAACAGAGTTATCTATGCCAAAAGGAACAACATTTGTAAAATAGCTAACAACTCAGTATATGTTATATTCACGTGATAGAAGTTAAAATAGATTTAAGTTTTAAAGTAGGGCTATGCCCTTTGAGATTGCTAAATGTCTAACATTATTATGGGTTTTGCAAGGGTTAAAAACATGTCATTTGAAAATAATCTAAAATATACTATCCTAATAACAGTAACAATTTTGATTATAGCTTAATGGTACAAAAACAAAAAACAGGTAACTAGTAAAAATATGTGTAAAATACCCCAGATGCCACTGCTAGTTTTCTGTTTGTTTGTTTTTTACCCTAATGACAGGTGTGTATCTATATGAAGCAGTTTGTTTCTTTAACTTATTAAAAAGGAAGAGAATTTTGTCAACTCAGATGACTTAATGGGACAAATAATGCATAAAAGTGAATGGGATTTGTCATTTGGCAGATATGATCTGTGCTATCTTGCACTCTAATTACCTCTTGTTTATAAATTCCCATTATGGGAAAAAGGAATAGCAGGGATAAAAGAAACAATTCACCCAAGAACTTTTTGTTAAGTTACTGCTCCTAGTCGTATATAGCATAATACACAAGATGCTTGGGTGTATATATTCAGATTCAGCCTACACCCTTCATCCTTGAAAACAAATTTTGCTTTAGGAAACAGAATTCTTCACGCCTCATTGGAGCATCTTTATTAACCTCTGTACCCACATATGATTTTTAGCAGAGGAACAGAAACAATCCAAATTTCTTCTCTTAATATTTGAATGGACGTGTTAATAAGTAGGGTCAAGTGAGTGGAGATGTGAAGACAAATTAAAACTGGGATATCTTCATGCTTGAACATTAGCATATCCATGGCTGATTCATGTCAATGTATGACAAAAACCACTACAATATTGTAAAGTAATTAGCCTCCAACTAATAAAAAATTTAAAAAAAAAAGGAAAAAAAAAGAAAGTATGTGTTTCCTTTAGATCATTTTAAAGAGCTGTAAAGTAATCACACTGAAATTGTATCACACTTACCAGTTAAGGGCAGGAAAAAACCGAAGTGTATCAGGTTTGGGGGTGTATGGAGGGCAAGTGGGGAGGGCTTTGTTGCTGCAGCAGCTCTGATTTACCAAAACTCTGCTAGGAATTCACCATCCGTGTCAGGATATGTAGGGCCAAAGAAGCAGTTCTGCTAACTTGGAGACCATTTCCAGAGATAGCGATGACATGATACTTACTGGATTTTGCCTTTACTCTAACCCAGTGATGGGTCTTTAGGATTCAAAGGCAAACTTTTCAGTCCTTTACGTGACCAAGTCAAAAGTCATGGACTAATTTTTTCTCCCTGAGTTAACTAAGCTAACCCATTGTTTGGACATACTGGGAATATAGCCAATTAATATAGGTTATTATTCTTTTTTAAAAATATATTTTACTGAAGTATAGGGGATTTACAATGCTGTGTTAATTTCTGCTCTGTAGTAACGTGGTTCAGTTATACATATATATTCTTTTCCATCGTCTTTTCCATTATGGTTTATCATAGGATATTGAATATAGTTCCCTGTGCTGTATAGGAGGATCTTGTTTATTCATTCTATATGTAATAGTTTGCATCTGCTCATTCCAAACACACAATCCATCCCTCCCTCCCGCTTTCCCCCTTTCTGGTTTGTAGATAAGTTCACTTGTGTCATATTTTATATTCCACATGTAAGCGATATCACATGGTATTTGTCTCTTTCTGATTTACTTCACTTAGTGTGATAATCTGTAGGTCCATCCATGTTGCTGAAAATGGCATGATCTCATTCTTTCTGTGGCTGAGTAGTGTTCCATTGTGTGTTTGTACCGCATCTTCTTTACCTGTTCATCTGTTGATGAACATTTAGATTGTTTCCGTATTTGGCTATCGTAAATAGTGCTGCTGTGAACATAGGGGTGCATGTACCTTTTTGAGTTATAGCTTTGTCTGAATATATGGCCAGGAGAGGGATTGCTGGATCATATGACAACTGTTTTTAGGTTTTTGACAAACCTTTATACTATTTTCCATAGTGTACTGCTGCTGCTGCTGCTGCTGCTGCTAAGTCGTTTCAGTTGTGTCCGACTCAGTGCAACCCCATAGATGGAAGCCCACCAGGCTCCCCCGTCCCTGGGGTTCTCCAGGCAAGAACACTGGAGTGGGCTGCCATTTCCTTCTCCATTTCCATAGTGTATAGTTCATTATTTTAGCTCCTCTTGTCTGCAGATATTTTCAGAGTTCAGTTTGTTTTTCAGATTGATAGGTATGCAACATGATGAATTTTCTATCCTTTATGGAATTTTTTTAAAATTGTCTTTTTTTCCCCCAGTTATAGAAATAAGGTAAGGGCCACAGTGAAGAGTTTGCCACAATATGGATGGATATAGGAGAAAATAAAAGTAATAAGACGTCTTACTGCACAGAAGTGATAACTAGGAACATCTAGGTTGTTGCCCACCAGACATCTTTTGACTGACTGTCAGTATTCTTTCATCTTCTGTCTCCTTTTCTGCCTTTTTCCTTCTTTCTTTCCTCTCTCTCCTTTCCTTCCCTTTTCTTTCCTTCTTCCCCTTTTTTCCCTTTTTCTTTCCTTTTCTCCTTAGCTCCATTCTTTCTTTTCTCTTTTTCTTGTCTAATACTCTTTATTTTCAGCAAATTCTTAAAGCTTTTATTGACTTTTATATCCTGTATTTGTTACATATCATCAAAATTTTCTCATATATTCTTCCAAAACACCATTTTAATGGTTGTATGATATTCTACTCTGTGTGCTCATTCTCCAAACATTAGTCATTTCTTTCTTCTGTTTTTTTCCTTTGCCAGTATAAATAATAGTCCAAAGAGCATCTTTCCATATTAATTTCCCCACATTTCTGTTTTTTTAGTAGAATAAAATGAGGGGCCAAGGACTTTTAAAAGCTCTGAATAGTTCCTGATATGTCACATGGTTCTTCAAGCTCTGAACAAAGGCATTCTGTCACATCTAGACCAACACACACAAAAAAGTTATCATTTTACATAACTTTGACACATTCATAGGTGGAATATTTTTCTCACTTTAACTTTCCTTTCATTAATTACTAATGTGGTTGAAGTTTTTAATTCATTTATTAGCTGTTTGTAGTTTTCTTCTGTAAATAATTTTAAGTGATTTAAGCCCTTGTTTTTGAGCTTTTTGTTTTGCTCTGTGGATTGTATGAGTTATTTTGTGCTTTATATGGAGGCTTTCTCAGATTTATGGCAAGATTTTATTTACTTTAATTTTTTTCTATAGAGAACTATTTTTATGTTCTTGACCTGTATTTCCCTTTAGGATTTCCTCATTGCCTTCATGCTTAGAAGTCATCCTTGAATTTCATTAATATTCACCTATATTAGGTTTTTTTAAATGTTACTTTTTATATCCATTTAACTACATCTATCTTTAGATTGTTTTGCTTCATGTTGAGTGGTGAGGTTCCATTGCTTGTGGGATCAGAATTTTATTTATTGTGGCTTTATAATACTTTTAAACATCTAGTGAAACAAATTCTATCCTATTTCTTTCTACTTTTTATTCACTTTTTTAAATGTTCTTAACCTTTAACTTTCCATCATTCCAAGTAAACTTTAGGATCACCTTGCTAATATAATAGCACAATTGTTGATTTTAACTTGATTTGTATTCAACCTTCAAAATAATTTTAGAATAATGTTGTTCTGATATTTTTTCTTCCAATTTATGAACTTGATACAGCTTTTCTCTATTTCACCTATCTTTTATAGTTAAGTTTTTCATTTTCCTATTACAGGCCTGTGATATTTCTTTTTATGGATAGCCTAAGGCATTTCTATGTATATGATTTTAAAATTACTGTTATGAATTGTGTGTTTTCTAACTTTTGTTTTCTAACCAGTTATTGGTGCCTAAGAAATTTATTTTATTCTTATTTATTTTAAATATGGCCACCCTACAAAATTTGGTGAGCTATAACTTGTTTTTGTTAAACAAGATTATTTTATAGTTAGTCCTATGTCTGCCGGTATAAACTAAAGCAGAAAAAATAAGAATTAAGCTTTGAAGTCTTCCTGGGAGTATTTTTTTCTTAGAGTAGAAATAAACTTTCTATTTTTAGAAACTTTTGACTTTTGTCACTCCATTTTGCTAAGTGTTAGTCTAATGCCATTTCCTAGGAGCCTAAAACTTTGCCTATATATCCCTACTACTTATAATAATAACCTTTCTGCAGCTTAACTACCAGTCTGAATGAGTTTTGTCTTGTCATTATAAACACTGTGCCGTTTCTCTGTGGTTGAGTTCTTTGCTTCCTTTAATTCTTAATTTGAGACAAGTAATCATTTTTTTCATCAGTCTGCAATACCTTCTTTGCTGTACCCCTAATGGTTATTGTGCTCAGGGATCATATCCAGAAGCCTCTTATAAATTTTTAATAAATGTTTAAACCTTCTGAGTCCTAAATTTAGTGCTTCATTTGATAGCCACATTGCTGCAGGGCAAATGTCTGATTTGGAGGTACTGGGGGTAACCTTGCTAGTGGCCAAGACACATTTGAGACCCCTCTAATGTTTCTACACACGAGTACCCCCTGCATGATCATATCCTTTGAAATCCCATTTCTTCTGCCAATTCATCTTTATCAGGGCTCATATTTTACAT